TCTATATACCATTATATTTTGTCTTTATGTGTTATTCTGGTTTTATATATGAATCCTTTAGACGAGTTGTTTCTTTGAAGAGCTTTCCTGAGAAGATATTCAGAGGGAAAGAAGAGTAATCAGAACTGGCGTGGTCTTCCGTAAACAGCTGCTTATGCTTGGCTGGGGCTTGTTTTTGGGCACTTTGGCTCACTGTGGATGTCAATGATAATCAACCCAGAGACCTATTGTTATGTCACAGTAACTTAATCAGTTTCTGTCATCAGGGAATTGACATTATTCTATTTTGATCTCGCTGCAGCCAACATGCCGAGAGTTAAGTATCTTTGTGCCAAAGTTTGGATCGGCGTGAATCTGACTACTGGCAGGGACTCGAGCCACGGTCCAGTGCTCACTCACACATGCACTAATACAAAAACACCCTCGATCTCATGCACAGTAAAGCATACGACACACACTACTCTCACTCTACCCTCAGCTGTAGCAGATGTCCACCCTGGCGTCGAGTACCCGGACAGAGATTTACACTCGACCGTATATGTAGCACTTTTGTGATCCTCTATTCGAGTGAGGGCGCGTCTGGTCGGCTGAGAGTAGGGTCACTGTCAAAGGTTGATGTCTCCGTTAGCAAGTCCAGAACGAGGACAGCGTCAACCCATGAAATACAATCAACCCGAGAGCACTCCCCGGTGATGTCAGTAGCCACAATACACACACACACAAAAACACCCATACATCGTAGCAACATTATGCATCAACACAATAATCAAAGACATATGCAAAGTGGAGAGCAGGAATTCTTGTGGAAGACATGTTGGAATCAGACTCAGGGCTTTTCAGTAAGGACCAAACCCTAGCTGCTTTCAGGCACGCTAGAAAACAGGCAATATTTATGTGTGTGTTCTTGAAGCCGTTTTGATCAGCTCAACCCCTCAGCGTGTACATAGAAGGTGACAAGTCTGAAAAACAGCTTGGACGCCAGTCTCTCAGAGGGGAGCGGGGCGACTCATCATCGTCGTCATTGTCACCGCCCCCCTCTGTGTTTGCACTGGCATCCATGCGACACAACTACCTTCTCATCCCAAAAGCCATTATATCATCTTGTCTTCTTGTGTATATCCTTACTTGTCTTTAAAGGAGGCGTGGAGGACTTTGTGTTCTCGTGTATCATTTCTTTATTGCCAAAATGTCTCAGTAGACGTTCAGCTGATAGACAGTACAGATGTTATTTTCTTTCAGTCTCTCTTTGAAGCAATATGAACGTTCTCTCTGTAGCGGTGAGAGTTCCCATCTTTGGACTATGGGCAGGTCTCCTCATCTAGAGTTATGTGTGTGTGAGTATGTGTGTGTGTGGATTTGGGTGTGAATGCTGTAACATGTTTTCAGTCATTGGGGGAATGTCCTTGGTTTGGTGCTCCCGTGTGATGATGACCTCATCCCTTCACTCTGCCGGGCTGTCAGGATATTAATGATGGTGACGCAAGAAGAACATTGAGATTATGTTGTTTTGTTTTTGTTTCTCAACATGGCCAAGGTGTTGTCTACCCTCTGTTTATGTCAACTCTTGTCATACAAAGAAAAGCCATATAAACAGTAAGAGGCACAATAAACTACTTTTGTGAGATTACTGGACTTTTTATTGTTATAAACAACATTTTTCCTCCCCTGTTCAAAAAACTTGAACAAACTTGATGAGAAAATGCTGCAACAAGCAGAGTGCAATAACTCTCCACTACCAGGATGCATCAGTAGAGGGAGCTCTTGTGCCGTGACTGCAGGGTTTACTGCATGCAGCAATGATTCCCCTACATGGAGGAGGATGACAGAAGGGCCTGATGGGTCATGGAGAGCTGTGGGTGCAGAGGCTAGTAAATCATAAGACTCCTGCTGAACAAGGACATCAGATAAAGGTCTGGTCTTATGATTTGTTCACTCTGTATTTGGAGGAGCGCAGGTGAAAAAAGAAATCTTCTCAGAGTTACTCTTTGATGGAGTGGTCCAGAAGTTTGAAAAAAAGGAAATCTGTCAGTTCTGATGTGATGTTTTTGTTGAGTGCACCTGAGAGACACCACAGCAAGTTTTAGATTAAACATCAGATATTTATAGAGTTTGAGTGAATTGGTCAATTTCATCTCTCACGAAAGGGTCCACTGAGATAGAACAATTTCCTGGGGACCCCCTCATGTATGTCCCTTGGAAATATTTGACGTAGCCTATATGTGAAAGATCAACCTGAAGAGAAATGTCTTAAAAATATTAGACATGTATTTGATTGTTACTTTTGGCTCTTTAATGTCATGGTTTCATTATTCATTCATTATTTTTTTAATGTTTCACTAAGGCAAGGGATTAATTAATTGAAAAATAAATGATCATATTGCTCACTAATAAAAATAACTGTTAGTTGCAGCCCACATATTAATCATGTCCAAATAAAAGGGTCCACAAGAGAAAATGGAAGAAGATGAGCTCAGTGTGAGTGTGCATCTTGCATCCAAAACTTGATCTGTTTTGTTAACGACCTGTGAAATCTGAAAGGACTCTGGGGCCTTAAACGCAACCGAAAGTCAACAAATTTCATCAGAATGTCTCAAAAACCTTAACATAGTCGTGCAAACCCCATAAACACAATTAAAAATACAACTCCCTTGGATGCATCACTGCCGCTGATGTGATCACCGTCTCTTGATATCCTGACAAACAACAGGAGCCCTCTCAGTAAAGGACTATTGATAGTAAACATCTGTCTTCGCTCAGTGTACCAGTGTGGGATACTAATGCCTCACTTTGATTTTATTAATAGAGAGACACAGGGAGAGAGAATCAGGGGAGGGCGATAAACATGATGAGATTCTATCAATTATATGATTGCTTTCATTAACTATCATTAAAGACAGATCAATAACACTGGACTGGAATAAAAATAAGGTCCATACATTATACACTATTTTACAAGGAACAATCAAACAGGCTCATATAGTGAGCCCTGGGAAGGTGTTGCCATGGGAACCCACGGGAGGGTTTGGGTGTGCTTGGGGGGATTTAAAGGAGCCATGAAGGTTTCTATATAGGCTCCTCATCCTTCCACATCAGTGATATTTGATTAACTAATTACATGAGGTAGGGCGACTTCATTGGAAATGAATAAAGGCCCCCGGAAAAATGGAATAACCGTACAATGAATTAATAAAGGTAAAAAAAAAATCTCCAGTGTAATATTCCTGCAGCCACAGGACATCAATTATTCACAAAAACTAGAGAATCCATAAAAGTGGGTCATGACTGAGGCATACCAACGAAACACATTTGAATATTTAAACCCGGGGAAAAAAAATGTGTCCCACATCCACTGAGTTTGCTCTGAACATAAGCAAACTGCAGCGGTGCCTCCGTCAACACACCGGAGAGATAATGGAGCAGCATGCAGAGGCTGCTGCTCCTCGGAGAGCGATCAGGAGGATAAAGCTCAGTGAACCTAAGTGCTCCTGGCAGCGGTTAGGGAGGAGAGAAGAGCCCAGTCTCAGGGTGTGATAAAGGCGAGGGAGTGGAGATGCATGTGACCTAGGTTTGATGTGATAAAAAAATAAAAACCTGTGTGCACCTGAAGCTATAGACAAGACAGAGAGGCATATGTGACAAAATACCACATCACTTACAGTGTGTCTCCTGCATGGGTCAGAACAGACAAAAGGACATGTTCATCATTTGTTACGTACGCAGTGAATCCATGGAGAGTTGGGAATCAGTCATGGGAAGAGAGGAGAGGTGAGGGGAAGGTGAGAAACGTTTTCAAGTGCAAAGACCATAAATTTAACACCTTCCCCTGAACGAGCAGAGAGGCAGGCGGGCCATCTTAAAGGAAGGGTAATGGAGAAAGTGATGAAGAAACGGGTAAAGGTATCTGTGACAAGAGTGAGAATGGAGGGTGTGCCGGCAGAGAGGCAGTGGAAATAAACAAGGCCAGGTAGAGGAAGGGGTGATTTGGGAAAGGGGAGCAAGGGGCTGGGGAAGGCAGGCGTCGGGGTCATAAAAACTAGGAGATGTGTTCTGGCCTCTGGGTCTTCATATCTTTTACATTTCTAATTAAAAGAGATAAAGAGTGAGGGAGCCATCAATCCCACAGTGATTTCCCAGTTAAGGTTTTAGAGGGAGCTGTAAACTAGGCAGCCCGGCATCATTGATTTTATAATTAGCTATCGTCACCCCGGACTTAAGATGGAGGGAGTGTGGTAGAGGGGCAGGAGGAGAGCTTACAAAAAAGTAAAGGGGGGAGCAGGAGACTGCCAGAGGAGTGGGGAGGCACAGGGATGAAGAGGATGAGGGGAGTCAGGCCTGAGGGAGGGTGAGGTGAGGTGGGGGGAGCCAAAGGTGAGCAGAGAGAAAATCCAGAATGAGAACTGTATCTGAAACAGGCAATGAGCCAAAGGGGAATACGGGGCTATATAGCTGCATGAAAAGAAATGGCATAGTTAATTACCAGTGAAATGTCATGTGAGGACCAAAATATTGCTATGATCTTTGGCCAGAAAAAGACACATTAGACCCAATAATGGATACATAAACCATTTTATTATACGAGAACCCAACCAAACCCTGTTACACGACTGATAAGAAAATGCACGGTGGCGTACATGTGGGATCGCCCTCACGTGCAAAAATTCAAATCAAACCATGACCACCAGAGCTTTTATTGCAACGCGAGACAGTGTCCTGACGAGGAGCACTTGTATTGGAGCTCTCGGCGGAACAGCAACAAAAAAAGAACTTCCCTAAGACATAAAGTCAGATTACAAGCACAAATGAACACTATGGAGAATACATGTAGTGTGCTATTTTTCTGGGAAACAATACCAGACTCCTCAAAATACTTTATATGTGGAGAATCAACATGTACTGCAACACCAGGAAGTAAGACAAGGTACAAAGGAGACGTTGGACACATTTACCCGACATAAACAACCCTCTTCCTGCTAAAGCTTTTTATTAAAATGCACTTCTTCCTTCAACCCAACACTCAGATATCACTCTCCTTCATTAGCACCAATATCTTACGACGACATAACTCAACTATTAAATCTTTAAAAGTCTCAAAATAAGTATTTGAAAGCAGAGAATAAAAAATTTGATTAAATATGCGTAAACACAACACACGGTGGTAATGATAAAACCAAAACAACTGAAATATAGTATCCATATATCACCTTTTCATCTAAAAACTCTTCCATAGTAAAAATAGGGTGCAAATGCAGCAGATAGAATCAAGCATCAAAGTGTCTATAGCAAATATCCTCAGCCAAGCATGTAATGTTGTCACACGTTGCACAAACAGTTGTGTGAAAACAGCTATTTTAAACTCAAACCTGAATATAGTTTAATTGCAGCATAACTCAAGTTAATTATAAATAGAAAAATCATGAAAAATGCATACGCTATTGATTAAAAGGTAGTCAGCGATTTTTATTAGGCAGTATATCGTCGCAGGCCTAAGGGGAAAATACCAACACCGTGTCATGAAGTCGGGATCTATAAAGATTTTTCTTTGACTCTTTATTTCATTATTTTAGGTACAATTTAGAACCGCACGACTGTGAAGTAAAGATTTCTGTACAATATATTAAAGTAATAAAGACTGATGCTAAATATCCAAAATGACCAGCGAGCAAATTAACATTTCATTTGAATAATTAGGAAAATGTAAAATCCAGGGTCATTAATTAACAAGTAAAAACTGCGGCTGATCTACAGCGAGAAAGCGTATGAGCGTTAATTTTATAATATGAAGATATGAAGTCGCTGAAGTAGAAAGTTGCATCTATCTCGACTTTAAACACAATCTGTTCCCGGGGCTCTCCACTCCGAACGCCTGTCCGTTTTAGAGCACCCCCGCATCACTAAATCTCCTGAACTGCAACTGCATGACAATTAACTGCTAATGCGTACAAGAAAGTGCATATCAAATCTTAGTTCTGAGTAAATGGAGGAGAAATATGATGTCATAGACCTACATTACTGCAATATAATTTTAGCATGATGCTGTATCATTACTTTATGCCGCCGTGAATAGTGTTCAAAGCTGCTGCGGAGAATTTAATGCTGGAGGAGAGTTTTGCCATGATTTTCAGCGGAGCCGGGCCTGCACAAAACATAATTACAGTGCCTGTCATGACTCCTAATCACAAATGTCATAAAAACGACATAACATCCATCGTAAAGCTCTCGACATAGCAATGATTCAACAGAAATCATTCTGCTACAGCCTGCAAACTCTCAAACGCCAGAGCCCGCGCCTAAAAGCCCGTCGTTTCAAACTACGCAACAGTCTTATGTCAGTCATAAACACGGTGTTGACCCACCACCACATGCATTATGTCATTCCTAACAACAAAACAGTAAGGGCGATAACACAACAGCCAAGCAGGGGGAAAAAAACTGGGTTCACGGCAGATACGATGTAAATTGCATATTAATATTTTGTCTGTGTGGTGAGCGAGCTGTATATGTGCTTGTAAATGGGAGTAATGTGGACGTTATGTGGAACCACGCTCACTCCCCTCTGCTGCTTGGGTCACTCGTCGTGGCTATGGCCGGACTGTCCACTGGTTACCATAGCGAGGTGTCGGCCAGATCACTGGAGGGAGACACAAAGCAGGGTGTGAGAAAAACTTGAAAGAAACACACATTCTGGTTGAAAGAGGAGGTTAGACTGAAGGAGTGAGTGAGTGGGAGCGCAAGGGCTTTAATGACGCTGAAAATTGGCCCGTGACTGCAGTACACCCCTCAGGTAAATCATTGCTACAGCTTGCTGTCAACTTATCTGTCCCCTTGTCCTCCCATCGCCCCTCCCACGCCCTGGCTCTGTTTCAGACTGTCTCCCCCGCCTCACCCTGACTCAACTTCTTTTACGACCTCATATTCAAAACTTCCATCTTCCGGCCATACTCGCCCTGTCACCGTAAATAATTGGTCACATGGGTCTGTGTGCATTAGCGAGCTTTGAATTCATGGTGTACACCTTGTCTGTGTGAGGAACTAAGCAGATTTACTGATGTACCATGTTTAAGAACAATTCTCAAGTAAAAGTACTTCGTTCTTCCATTTGGAGATACTTTACGCTTTTACTTTTCTACATTTGCAGGACTGTTATGATACTTTTGACTGGACTGCATTTGTCTGATGGCTGTGTTCACCTATCGCTTTGCAGAGTAAGGCTGTGCACACAAATCAAGTCAGGAGCTCATAAAATATGACGCGCGGTTGGAGAGTAAAACCAGCTTGCATGACAAGTAAAAATTTTCATTTCAATACGCAGTCAGAAAAGTAAATCTCTATTTTTACGAATCAAATCTTCAACTGTGATCAATTTGCTGTGATTGTGTCATTGTCGCTCCTTTACTAATGCCTTGCCCCTCGTCGTGGGAAATATCCTATTTTGAGTGTGGGTACGCAGAACGTCCACGTTTCAATTCACATTATAATTAATTAATTATGTAAAAATTCTTAGTTCTGCACAAGTAAAAAAATGTATTAATATCATCACCAGAATATTCTTGAAGCATTAAAGGGTAAAGATAGTAACCATAGTAACTAATATATCATATTTTAATGCTTGAGATAGTTTAATTCTGGCTCCTCCAGAGACTCAAGATAAATCTGAGCGAAAGTAAGATGATTAATGGAGTAGAACAGAAGAAATATAAATGTAATGGAGTACAAGTATTAAGTAGCATAAAATATTTAATACCTTAAGTACCTCGAAATTGTTCACAAGTACTGTTCTTGAGTAAATGTACTTTGTTACTTTTTACCACTCACTCTTCAAAATTACGTCTTTCACAAACATTATAGAACAATTCACTGCAAACTTTAATGCAGGACATCTTTCGAGTATTATTCCTTTAATAACTGAGCGTTATGGATAAGATTACTATTCTCTCTACCTGTATGTGTGTATATGTAAGTGTGTATATTATATATATGGTTGTGTGGGACGTTGTACCTGAGGACGGTGTCGGAGTGCTCAGGCAGAAGAAGTGCCGTTTCCTCTCCAGAGCTGTGTGTGCCACACTGAAGTGGATCGGATTCCTCCTCCTAAACACACACACACACACACACACACACACACACACACACAGACACACACACACGCACTTTAACACTTATCTATCCAGCAGCTATTAAAATTACAGTCTAATAACTTGCAGGCTAGCGGCCTAATTGCAATTCTGATAATGTCGATATCAAATGATCCATTGCCCGTGTTTAACTGGTGTGCATCAGCATGAAGAAGACATAGCTCATTTTCAGTAGCACATATAATTACGCCGCGGTGGCGCTGAGCTGCTCAGATAGTGTGTCTCACCGAATCCGAGCTGTGCGTCAGAGTGTCAGCATTGGCCTGGTGTGGTGAGGAGAGAGGAGCCGGCTGGTTGATGACCACCGCGCTCCTCTCCATCTCCCGAGGGGAGGGAGGAGGGGTGGCGAGGAGCAAGGAGTCGGGCTGGCCCTGCTCACACAGGCTGTAGTGTCCAAGAGGTCTCGGTGGACGGAGGGGCTGCAGGGCCTCTGGGTTTTCGTCCTCGGAGTCAGATAACACACTGTCGGGCCGCCCTGCCGGACAGACACATTGGCAAAGAAAGAAAGCGATCATTCTTTTTTTCTCAAAGCCCCTATCGCCCATGACACAGGTCGTTCTTAACAATATTTAGCGCTGCTGTTGACTAATAGTTAACACTTTTATTGTCCACATCTGCAGAGCATGCAGCAGATTAATGTGTGGCTCCATTCACCTGTAGAGGCGATCAGGGCAGCGCTCCACTTGGCACCGGACACTGTTCCCATCCTCTGCTCCAGCTGACAGATGTACTCCATCAACTCCTGCATTGTAAAACACAGCCGTCACATCTCATCGTGGCTGCAGCCGCAACCCGCACCCTCAGTACCCTCATGCTGTCTGACTGCTTCAAGCCAAATCCGCAGCAAATACAAAAACAATACATTTGTTATTGCATCAACGTTATTATCACTGAAGAGGGAACATTTAAACAATTGTTTGATTTATATTGTGCCACAGATTGGCTGCTTGTGCTCCCATATGGATCTTACGACTGAGCTGGACGCTGATTTTAAAAACATTGACTATCTACTCTGTCAGTTTTGGGCAAATGTGATGGTGGTTAAGCCAAAAACAAAAACAAAAAAAATAAATCTGCAGGCACTTTAACAGCGGCAGCACTGACTGCCCTGAAATCCACTGATTTATATTGCACTATAAACTATTTATATTGCGCAATAACAACTAAGAAGACAACAACAGAAAGACAATTCCTAACACCTGGCATATTCATAACACTTGTATACTTGTGTATATGTTACACCAATAAGCTTCCGGACATGAATGCATCGTTAATACAAAGCTATTAGCTGCACCCGAGCTTGATGGTGGAGGAAATTGTAGCTAAATTTAAACCTCTCAGATAATGAATGAAGTACTGTTGTTGGGAGCTGATAAGGATAAAACACTTGCAATTTATTTGTTAATCCATACAAGCTATTCAACAGCCTTAAAACCTTATTTGCTGATACTGAACAAGGCACAAAGTCAGAAGTATTTAAAAATGAATATACCGACTCTCAAAACATTATACTTTTGCCACGTTTTGGACAAACTTCCTCTCAGCAGAGATTGAAGTTGTTCCCTGTGAATGAAACATTGCTTTCAGACATGCACTGAACTCCAAATGTTCTCTGGTTGTATGCGGGAATGCAAATGTCACTTGCTCCAGACATTCTCCAGAGTTTCACCAGCCAGTTCCCTCGTAACAACTGGAGGATATTATCCTGAGAATTCACAGCAAGTGTGGGTGCGTTGATGACTAAAGTAATACAAAGTAATATAAATATCTCAGGATGAAAAAGAGGTACCATACACATAGAAGACACAGATTAAGATGTCAACTTGGAAAGAAAACTAGGTTCTAAAGCTTTTGACGATAGGGGTCGATGTGGAGCCACCCCAAATCTCTGGAGTTTTTTGTTGTTGTTGTGAATGCGTCCGACCCTGACAAACTCCTGCTGCGTTCTTCATATGTGAAAGGTCTGGATACTTTCAGGACCCAATTATCTGGACATGTTCTTTTTTGAAAAACGGTCAAAAGAGCATTTCTGACCTGCTTCTCTCCAAGTAGCTGCTCCTTCTCTTTTTGGGAGACCCTCAGGCTGGCCTTTAGCTCCTGGAGCTCCCTGCGGGTTTCACTCAGCTGAACCTGCAGACCAGGAGTCATAATACAGCAAGATACAGTATCAACAGATGACTCTAACCAATACATCGGGACTGGACTGCTCGTATTATGACTCCATTTACACAAAAGCATCCGTCACATGGATGTGAAGCTTGTGCAGTTTTTCTCACCCGGTTGCAATCCTTTTCTCTTCCGAGCTCCACCTCCAGCTTCACTCTCTCCATCCTCTCCTCCTGCAGCGTCTCCTCCATCCTTTGCAACTCTGAATTGAATTTCTCCAGCTGCTCGTGATCCTTCTGTCAGTGTGACCAACACACACACACACACACACACACACACACACATATTCTCCTCAGGCAGTGAGGTCACTGGACCATGTGTAAGAACCATGTAGACTTGACTTCATAGTTTAATGACTACATTAAGATAATGTGCGATGTGCACCACCTGCGAGAACATTTGCTGTTTTGCAACATAATGAGTTTTAACAACATTTAACAGCTCATCTATTTGGACACTAACGGGACATATGGCAAAATATATTCCAAACTTTATATCTACCACTGAACAAATAGATGAAATGTTCTGAACCCTCCATGTTCTGCAGTGATGCAGTACCTCAGCTGTGCGCAGCAGACTCTGCCTCTCCTGAGCCCAGTGGGCTCTTCCCTCTCTTAACGCAAGACTGGAATCTGCCAGCTGAAGGGTGAGTTGTGCGGCCTGCAGACGAGCCTGATGCACTTCAGTCTGCCCGTGATCCCTGTTGGCTACCATGGCGCTCAGATCGCTCTTCAAGCCCTCTGTGGCGCGCTCACTGGCGTTCAGACGCTCCCGCAGGCTCCGCATCTCCTTCAGTACTGCCTCGTTCGCAGCCTGGCCATAGAAAGACAAGAAAGTGTACGTGTTGACAACATTTGTTGCTATAGGTGATCTGCTACATATCATAATGCCAGTCATAGGATGTAACAAAGTAACATAGTAACATTTTATATGTGTCTATACTTTACTTATAGTAAGTAGATAGATTTTAGGTACTTTTCACTTTTACTCCACTACATGTCAGCAAGTACCTGTACCTTCTGCACCTCTACAGTTTTACATTGCATTGAGCTACATGTTCACATTGTTGTTTATATTTTTGAAGTAATCAATAACAAGAGGGGGAATTGATCCAATTAGAGCAGGCAGGTAACGTTAGACCCCGCCTCCTGCAGCAGGTGGTGAAGAAACTGAGACCAAGGAGGACAAGAAGGCCGAGACTCAGGCATGGTGATGTCAGAGAGTTTGCATTAAGGAACAGGCTCCACTCGCGACTTTTAATACTTGTATACCTTACACTTATAATCATGTACTTATTTACTGTTACATTAAGTGAATTTGGTAATTTTGTCTTTTAATTTGTACTTTTACTTCAATAAAATGTTTTAGTACTTCCTCCAGCACTGCCTAATTCCAGTCCTGAAAATAACTAATACTAAATATGAAATATTTGAACTCTAGCAGTTTTAGGATGAATGTTTTAGGACCATGTTTGCCTCAAATAAATGTTCAAGTGCAAATACTTCTTTACTTTCAAGAAGAGATTCAAACTCAGATAAAAAACAACAAAATGTCCTTAGTGTATTCATTTCAAACTTCTTTTCAACTCCATCATTCTACCAAATAAACATCTGACCTCTTTCCTGTGTGCAGTGGTGAGTTTCTGTGTGAGAGTGGTGATAGTGTTTTGGAGCTGAAGGACACTGGTGTCTCTCTGGGCCAGTGAGGTCCTCAGACCCTGGAACTCCTTAGACAGACTTCTGAGTTCTCCTTCTGTCTGTTCCAGCTTGGTCTGAAAAAGAGAAGGAGGTTTGAGAAGAGAAGACCAACAAAGACACATTTTTTCCTGTGATATTGCATGTTCTGAATTGTACCTGCAGGCTCTTCCTCTCACTCTCTTCTTCTTTCCTCTGAGCTCCTGACCTCTTTGCTCTTTCCTTCATCCTGCACACAGATATTGGTTACAGACATTCAAAAGTATTCAAGACCACTGCAAAACTAAAAGGTTGAGACAGAAAAAGACAGAGAGAGAAATAGAGAAGAAATTTAATGTCACACCTTTCCACATCAGTCTCTCTTTCCACCGTTCTCTGTGTGAGGATTTTGATGTCCTCCTCCAGCTCTTTGATTCGCTCTTCACTCGACTCCCTCGCATCCAATAAAGCACTTTTCTCCTGGGCAAGTGATTCTCCAAGAGCCTGCTCCTCCTTACAGACCAGACATTTTGATTTTTACGAGGAATTTTTATTTATAAACCAGTCTAATAATGAGCTATTTAAAATAATAACTCAGACATTTCCCCAAATTGCTGTGACCTTAAATTTTACAGTGAACCAGGGAGACTATGTTGAAGTGGATACTTGTGTTTTCCAACAGGGTATAAGGACACAGATAAAGAGAACTTATCTTAATCAAACGATCTTGCTTGGCATTTGTTTAGATTTATAAATCACCTTCTGCTTCCTCTCCGTCTCCTTGATCTGCTCTCGACTCTGCCTCAGTTCTCTCTGCAACCTGGAAATTTCCCTTTCCAGCTCAGCGCATCGTCTGTCCCAGTTCTCCCTTGTCCTCCTGTGCTCGTCCTTTTCTTTTTCCAGTTGCCTGTTTGCTGCCTCCTGCACCTGCAGCAGCTCGGCCCGCTCTCGCAGACATTCCTGCAGCCGACTCTGATAAGAGATGGGAGGAAGCAGCCGGCAAAAGGGAATCGTCATTGTGCTTTAATCTTTGTGGGTAAACAGTAAACAAAAGTATTGATTTCCCAGTATACAGAGTGCGCTTTATCAGTGCTCATTAATTATACAAAACAGGAAACACACTCTCCAGTATCTCTACCTTATCCAGTGAATCTTTCTCTGTATTTATGCTCACCTGCAGCAGTTCGGCCCTAGGTATAACCAGCAGCATGCCTGTGCCTCCTTCCTCTTCATGGGGCTCCTCTTCAAGGGTCACCAGATCTTCAAGTGGCTTGGGTGCAGAGAATGTAAATTTGGAGCTGCGGGAGCACACCTCGCCCTTAGCATCAATGTATACAAACTCATACTCTTGAGAGTTGGGCTTGGGAAGGTATGAGGCTAAAAAAAGTAAAAAACAAGATGAGAGTTACTTTAAAAGTCGGTTTACAGACAATGTTTCAGAGAAGCCCTGAATTACTTATAACCAACTTTCCATTATTTGGAAGTTAATGGCCATTTAAGTGTTTTTCAATCACCTGTAA